ATGGAGCACTTTAGAAGTGATGACCAACACCTTGAAGCGCACCCGGAAGACCACCGGGAGCCAGTGCAGCTCGCGCAGGAGTGGTGTTACATGGGAGCGCCATGCTAATCCCGTCACTACCCACGCTGCTGCATTCTGGACCAGTTGGAACCTCCGGGTGCTCTTCAAGGGGAGCCGCATGTAGAGAGCGTTGCAGTAGTCAAGGCGAGAGGTGACGAGGGCGTGAGTGACTGTGCACAGGGAAGCCCGATCAAGAAAGGGCCGCAACTGGCGAATCAGGCGAACCTGACAAAAGGTCCCCCTGGTTACAGCCATCAGATGTTCCTTCAAGAACAGCTGCATATCCAGGAGGACTCCCAGATTGCGAGCCCTTTCTGTGGGGGCCAAAGACTCGCCCCCAATAGTCAGTGATGGAGTCAACTGACTATATTGGGATGCCGGGAGCCACAGCCACTCAGTCTTGGAAGGGTTGAGCTTGAGCCTGTTTCTCCCCATCCAGATCCGCACAGCCTCCAGGCACTGGGACATCACTTCAAGGGCATTGTTGGGCTGGCCTGGGGTGGAGATGTACAGCTGGGTGTCATCAGCGTACTGGTGGTATCTCACCCCGAAGCCACGGATGATCTCGCCCAGCGGCTTCACATAAATGTTGAACAGAAGGGGCGAGAGGACCGATCCCTGCGGCACTCCACAGATGAGAGGCCTCGAGGTCGACCTCTGCCCCCCTGCCAACACAAACTGCGACCAGTCGGAGAGAAAGGAGGAGAACCACCGCAACACGGTGCCTCCCACCCCCAACTCTTCCAGCCGGTGCAGCATGATACCATGGTCGATGGTATCAAAAGCCGCTGAGAGATCTAACAGGACCAGAACAGAGGAGCAACCCCTGTCCCGAGCCCTCCAGAGATCATCAACCAACGTGACCAATGCCGTTTCCGTGCTGTGCCCAGACCTGAAACCCGACTGGAATGGATCTAGATAAGATGTTTCCTCCAGGAATTGTGGGAACTGTCACGCGACCACACTCTCAACAACCTTCGCCATGAAGCGAAGGTTGGAGACAGGACGGTAGTTGGCCAATATTGCCGGATCCAGGGACGTCTTCTTGAGGAGAGGCCTCACCACCGCCTCTTTCAAGGCAGCAGGGAAGTGGCCCTCACTCAACGAAGCGTTGATAACACCCTGGAGCCAGCCTCATGTAACCTCCCGGGAAGCCAGTACCCACCAGGAGGGACACGGGTCCAGTAAACATGTGGCCGCACTAAGTCTCCCAAAATCCTGTCCACATCATCGGGAGTCACAGCATCAAACTCCTCCCAGGTAACATTCTCAAGACTATTCCTCGTCACCCTGCCCTGATCTACCCAGTCAGAGTCCAAATCCCCCCGGATCTGAGCGATTTTGTCATACAGGTATTGTCCAAAATCCTCCGCCCTGCCTTCCAAGGGATCCTCCCGCACTCCCGGATGGAGCAGGGAGCGGGTCACCCTAAACAGGGCAGCCGGATGATTCCCTGATGATGCAATAGAGGCGGAAAAGTAATTAAACTTTGCCATCTTTATCGCCACTAGGTAGGCCTTAATATGCGACCTTACCAGTGTTCGATCAGATTCAGCGAGACTGGCCCTCCAACCGTTCTCCAGGTGTCTTTTCTGGCGCTTCATTTCCCTCAGCTCCTCAATAAACCAAGGAGCCACTCGGGATCGGCACCGGGTCAGAGGCCGCAAAGGCACGACTCAGTCCAAGGCCCCACCAGCCGCCCGATCCCAGGCGGCTACCAGGTCCTCGGCCGAGTCATGTGCTAGATCCTCAGGAAATGGCCCAAGCTCCATCTGGAACCTATCAGGATCCATCAGGCACCTGGGGCGGATCCATCTAATTGGGTCCGCCTCCCTGCGGCGGGGGGCAGCGGTTCAAAGATCCAGGCGAAGGAGTGAGTGGTCAGTCCATGACAAGGGTTCCATGTCTATATCCCCAATAACAAGACCACTCAACCACTGGCCAGAGACAAAAATCAAGTCCAGAGTGTGACCTCCCCTGTGAGTAGGGCCATGAACTAACTGGGTCAGGTCCATGGCCGTCATGGAAGCCATGAACTCCCGAGCCACCTCAGACATTTCACCAACGGATGGCAAGTTGAAATCACCCATGACTAAAAGCCTGGGTGTATCTACTGCCACCGTGGCTATCACATCGAGTAGCTCAGGTAGGGCTGTTGCCACGCGGCAGGGAGCCAGGTACGTAAGCAACAAGCCCATCTGAACTCCACAACCCCACCTCACAAGGAGGGACTCACATCTGGCTATCTGAGGCACAGCGGTCTCCCTCGGACCCAGATTCTCGTTAATTACTTTTTAATGATGATGTCTGTATATTTATGTTCTTAAATTGGCTGTACACCGCCCCGAGTCCTTTGGGAGAAGGGTGGTATATAAATAAAATTAATATAACATAACATAATATTTTTTTAAAAAAACATGTCAGCGGGCAGAAATGAAAAGAAGTTTGTTCATAATAAAAACAAAATGACAGATAATCTTTGCCATCAATCATATGGAGAACAGGGGGTGAGGCAAATATAACTATCAAAGAAATGAGACCCAGAGCACAGGTTTGAGAAAGACTGACCTATAATAATAAATTATAATATAAGTATGCAGAGATCTCCATTCTATAATTATATATCATAATCATATCCACAATTTAATCTTAGTAATTGGGAAGCAGAACTTCTGAATAATTCATCAATTTTTTATTATTGTCTTGGGAATAAAGACTAGATAAAGTAGAAAAATGTGAGTTAGACAGCATCACCACCAGATGGATTCGTAACTGGCTGACCAACTACACTCAACGTGTAGTCCTCAATGGAACTTCATCTACATGGAGGGAAGTATGCAGTTGAGTATCCCAGGGCTCTGTTTTAGGCCCAGTACTCTTCAACATCTTCATCAATGACTTGGACAAGGAACTCATCTAATTTGAAGATGATATCAAGCTGGCAGGAATAGCTAACTCTCCAGAAGAGAGGCTTAAAATACAGAAGGATCTTGACAGACTTGAACATTGGGTGCTCTCTAACAAAATGAAATTCAATGGTGAAAAAAATAAGGTTCTATATTTAGGGAAGAAAAACAAAATGCACAGGTACCGTATATGTGGTACCTTGCTCAATAGTAGTAACTGTGAGAGAGATCTTGGAATCCTAGTGGATAACCATTTAAATATGAGCCAGCAGTGTGCAGCAGCTGCCAAAAAAGCCAACACAGTTCTGGGCTGCATAAACAGAGGGATAGAATCAAGATCACGTGAAGTGTTAATACCACTTTGTAATGCCTTGGTAAGGCCACACTTGGAATACTGCATTCAGATTTGGTCGCCACGATGTAAAAAAGATGTGGAGACTCTAGAAAGTGTGCAGAGAAGAGCAACAAAGATGATTAGGGGACTGGAGGCTAAAACATATGAAGAACGGTTACAGGAATTGGATATGTCTAGTTTAATGAAAAGAAGGACTAGGGATGACATGATAGCAGTGTTCTGATAGCTCAGGGGCTGCCACAAAGAAAGAGGGAGTTGAGTTATTCTCCAAAGCACCTGAGGGTAGGACATGAAGCAATGGATAGAAACTAATCAAGGAGAGAAGCAACTTAGAACTAAGGAGAAATTTCCTGACAGTTAGAACAATTAATCAGTGGAACAACTTGCCTCCAGAAGTTGTGAATGCTCCAACACTGGAAGTTTTTAAGAAGATGTTGGATAACCATTTGTCTGAAGTGGTGTAGGTTTCCTGCCTAAGCAAGGGGTTGGATTAGAAGACCTCCAACGTCCGTCCCAACACTATTATTCTATTCTATTCTATTCTATTCTATTCTATTCTATTCTATTCTATTCTATTCTATTCTATTCATCCTTCAGTTTCTTGCCAAACTCCTGACCAAGTAGAAGTTCAAAAAGTAGCAGTAAGGTATTTTTATAAGATGATGTATCGTTGGTATTTAATACCTTATAAATTTCAAAGTTGGATAGTGGTGTGTTAAATACATGGTGGAAATGTAATTGGTCCAAAGGTACCGATTTTTATTACCTTTGGAGGACATGTAAGAAAGTCAAGAATTATTGAGATCAGATAAGTGCTTTAATTTAGGGAATTTTTAAAACAAGTGTACAATTGAAACCGGAGATTTTTCTTTTAGGTTTGATGGATAAGCAGCTTGAGAAAAAACATGGGACTTTGTATCTATGTATGATAACAGCAAGATGTCTCTATTGTGAAGTTAATGGAATTGGCTGAGATGACAAAACTAACTACTTTGATTAAAGTAGTTAGTTTTGTTTCTATATGATGTTCACTTAAAGAAATGATTTTTTAATTTTAGGATTTGACAATTAACTGGTTATGATTATAGAAATACTGTGCACTATTGAATTTTAGGACAAATATTTGTATTAACCAAAATTGGAAATTATTTTCTTATTTTTTCCTTTATTTCTTGCAGTCTCCCCTTTTTTCCTTTACAATTCTTTTTTTTAATATATTCTATGTTTTATTTAAAAAAATTAAAAGTATATACAATGAAAAAAAAAACAGTAGCAGTAAGGTTTCCTTTTAACCAGGTCTGACCAAGTCAATGTTGGGCAACATGTGCCCCTTCTCAAGGAAAAGGGGCACATGTTGCCCTTTCTTTTTAAGAGGGAGGCTCAAAAGGTGAGAAGTGAGCAAAGCGAAGATCACTGACCACAGCTCAGTGGGTTTGAGCGCGAATTGCAGTGAGGCAACCCCCGTCACCCACGAAAAGGAGAGGCGCGCAGGGCGCGATCTGGCGATTGGCCTAACCTCACCCGTCGATACAGCTCAGCCTCCTCACGTTAAGCTTTTGCAGCCCCAACGTTAAGTCACAGGTAGGCTTGGAAACCGAGGAGGCGGGAGGCGGTCCCTCCTTTGAGAAAGTTATAGGACTAGGTGGTGATTGTTTCACTCAGAGGCATTGGGGAAGTGTCTTGCCTACGTCTCGGGAAATTCCCTGACGCAGTAAGCGCACAGAGAGGAAGACCCTAGTTGCCGGACCCAGACAAGCAGTGCTCAGACGCGGAACAGGCAAGACGGAGGCTGCCGTCTGAACCCGAAGCAACTCCGCAGACGCCAGCCTCAGCGGGAAAAGGTCCCACCATGGCCGGTAAGGGCTCGGGTGGCGCGGTCGGGCTCTCTCGGATCGAGGTCAGCAAGGCGGCCCTGCGCCGCTTGCTGGACGCTATTGGCTGGAAAGAGGGCAGAAATCGAGGCACAGAGGCCTCACGAAGGCTGTTCCTATACTAACAGTCCCTCGGCATTCACTTTGGTTTGAGTCCCTGGGGCCAAAGAAAGTATTTTCTTTCTGGGTAGTTGGACAGAAAAACCACATCTGGAGAGAAAGCTTGCTTATAAGATACAAGGATTATAGGGTATTGACAAATGCTTTGCTTACTTCTTGATCCTTTCCCTTTTTTGCAGGCTAGGGGACCTGATGGTGGATAGTTAGATTAATCGTTTGAATGTTTTCCTGGTGTGAAAGTAGCCGGAGAAAACTTTTAATGGTGCGAGGCCAGGTTTTGTAAACCACTCAATGCAGGCAAAATAAAATCAAAATTACAAAGACAAAATCCTCTGATGGGCTGCTCAATGTTGGGGGTGACTCATGTGTTAAAAAGAAATCCCCACACCCATATCCCCCGTTCCTTGTTTATTTTAATCTTTATTTTTTCTTAATTTTTAAATGTTTTGTATTGCCTTTTAATCTTTGTATTATGCTGCTATTGAGGGGCAGCATCTTAATTAGTTAATTCAGTGTTTCTCAACCTTGGAAGCTTGAAGATGCTGGCTGGGGGATTCTGGGAGTTGAAGTCCACCCATCTTCAAGCTACCAAGGTTGAGAAACACTGAGTTAATTAGAGGACCTCTAGGTAGCCATTTGAATCTTGCTCTGAAGAGCAATAAGGTGCCTTAGATACGTACCTGCTATTTTCATTTTGCCCTTTATAGGTTCTTTCAACTGAAAATGTTACTTTCAGCTGCTTGGAAAAAGAATAGGATACAGATATACAGTAATTGATGAAATACTAGAATCAGTATAGCACTGATTAAGTCAGTTGATATTTGCTATCTGAGAAGGACCCATACTATTTTGTAGCAGTGAAAGAGAGAGCCTTGGGGAGCCTTCAGATCTATTATAGCAAAATTGTATTTTGTCAAAAGCTGGTCTTTTAAGTCTCACAAAGTCTTTTTGTTTTGATATTTAGATTGTTAGAGCACTTCAGGTTTATGAGGTTTTATGTCTCCACTATAATAGGTAATTTTGAGGCATTAAAGTCATTTTCTTACTGACAGCTTCCACTTTTCTGAATAAGAACAGCTTTGAACAAACTTGCTTAAATAACTATGTAAAAATGAGGTAGAGAGGAATTGGAAAGACACAGACACTATCCTAATTCATAATTAATGTAGTTTTTTTTTAAAAAAAGAATTATATTGAGTATTTATTGATCTACCACTTACTGTCATTCAACTGTGGAACTTGCTGAATGCTGTTTTGCTGCATTGGTCTATTGGTACTGAAATCTGAACTGGTGCCTCCAAAGAATGGAGGTTCCGGGTAATTACTGCTTGATTTCAGCTGTTGCCCTTTTGAATTCCCTCTTTTATCTGCAAGATAGCCTAAGATATGAAGGGAAGAGGCAGTGAAGATTGGGAAAGTAGACAAAATTCATCTCAATTTTGTATGTTTGTTCAAATACCCATCCCTGATTCCAAGTTGATTTATTTCCACATAAGCACTGTTAACGATTTCTTTCTAAACAGAGGTAAAAATTGCACAGCAGATTTCCATCTAAATGTCTAATGAAGAGCCGTAGCTAGGCTTCATTTTGTTTCTAAGAGGTGAACTGTGCCTAAGTTTGTTAAAATCAAAATCTTTCATTGAATCCTTATAATATTTTTTGCTGAAAGCAACTATTAATGACATATTTTGAAACTGTGTTTTTTAACATTATTAACATCAAATTTTCTTTATCTGCTATTGCTGGCTTCAAAGTTATTTGAAAGTTACAAAATAGTTTATAATTATTCTATATATTATGGTTGATCATTAGAATTTAGGCATGTTATCAGTTATTACATTCTAAATTATTAAAATGTAGGTGTGATGTGTAGTACAGTACCATTTTCACTAATAAGTAGAAGTTGGTGGAAGAGAAATATAACATTATTCAAAAACTTTTACCTCTTACAATTGTGAATGTATAATATAATATTTTGCATATGAAAGATACAGTATACAGTATTTCATTCTATATGATTTGACACATAAAAAAATCTACATTTAAGCCTTGCATCTTTTTCATCATTGCATTCAAAATTTCACATAGTACAGAAATATCTTAAATTTCTGTTGCCAGTGTCATTTTGTGAGATTATTTGTATAGTGAAATATTGATTTCAAGTCCTTTTGGTTTTGATATGAAATAATAACTTCAAGGATATTATAAAATGTACCACACTGAGAAAATTCATACTGTTATTATTTCTGCTTAATATACAATATACATATGAATGAACCTTTCACTTACACACTTTTACTTCTCTCTTTTCTTGAGCAAACAAAAAACAAGGAAGTCTTCAGTTAAATACAGTTTCCTGTTTTGTCCAAGCTGGTGACACAATTTTCTTTATTTAAATATTTAATATTTGTTCTCTCAATGGATATCAGGGCAACATGTAATCAATAAAACAGTGCAATGATTTACTAATACTCTTTAAATATAATCAAAAGAGTGGTCAAATTTCCCTATCTTCACTTGATGTTGAAATTAAATTACTGGCACCATCCATATATTGAGCATTTTCAATTATATTTGTTGAAAGACAGAACTTGTAGATGCAACTTGTAGATGCAACATCTAAGTGACAAAATAAATTTTAAAATATAGAAGAAAGGAAAAAACTGCTGTATTTTTTCTTGCATTCTCTGAATTTACATATGTGGACATTTCAAATGAAAAAACCAGAAAGGAGAGAAAGATTATATCATTTTACATAAGGTACTAAGCTTTCTCTCTGTATACAACACTAGCGGGCCTTATTCAAGATGACAATGAAGATGCTTACCGTAAGGAGGTAGAGGGTTTAGTGAAGTGGTGTGACAAAAACAGCCTCATTTTAAATGTAAGAAAAACTAAAGAGATCGTTGTCGATTTCAGAAAAGGCAGGCACAGCCACACACCTCTATGTATTAATGTGTCACCTGTGGTGTTGGTTAGCAGCATCAAGTTTCTGGCTGTACAGCTAACGAGTAGGCTAGCTTGGTCACTCAACAATGAGACACTGGTGACGTGGACACAGCAGCGCCTGCTTTTTCTGCGTCACATGAGAAAAGATTCTTCCCCTGTCCTTATCACTTTCTATAGAGGGACAATCGTGAGTATCCTGTCGTATTGCATTACTGTCTGGTTTGGAAGCATTACTGCTTCGGACAGGAAGGCAGCGCAGAGAGTGATGAGGATGGCAGAAAAGATCATTTGTTGATCACTTCCTTCTATCCAGGACATAGCATATAAGCGATGCTTGACCAGGGTCCAAAGGATTGTCTGGGATGCTACATATCCTCTTCACAACCTGTTTTCCTTGTTATCTTCTGGGAGGAGGTTTCATGGTATCCAAAGCAGAACATCTAGATTCAGTCACAGTTTTGTTCCATATAGCATCAATCTTGTGAACTCTCAAGTTTCCTCTTTCCACTACGTATCAAAATAGATATATATGTGTGTGTATGTATGTATGTGTGTGTGTGTGTGTATATATATATATATATATATATATATATATATATATATCACTATCCATTTTGAATATGTGTCTGTGTGTGTCTGTGTATGATGCATGTTTTTATGTATGTATATAGCATGTGCATATGTGTGATCTATATGTGTGTTTGGGTAAATATACACTTTTATTGAGAGCAGGCAACAGAATTTCATTTTTAATGTGGGCCCATGTTCTCACAGTAAAAAAAAATGACAATAAAGTTATCTTATATGTAGAGCACCATAGATTTCCCTGGGCAAAGGCAATGCATGAAAAGAAATGGGACCTTCTAGGCCTGAGATTACGGGCTAGGGATCTGTTGGTTTGAGGAATGAAAGGAAAGCCTCACTGAAGGCAATAAACTATTGAGGTAACTGCAGACTAATGTCAATAAAGAGAAAAGACTCACTGGCATGTAAAGAAACAACAAAACATCTGACTTCTTTTGTGGCGAGCAGGTGCCTTTTGGATAGCCTAGTCATGCCTTCCTTATATATATCAAGACTTCCTGGAAGCCAGAGGTACAATTTCCTTTCAAGGAGAAGCTGTACAACTGAATTAATTTTAATCCCAGGTGTACCTTCTGTCCTAAGCAGCTGCATTCCTTTTCTCCTGCCTTTTATACATTTTTAAATTTAGTCTATTTTTATTCAGACTTTTCTATGGGAGCTCAGAGAACTATATGGGGATCAGATTTTGCCCATAACAACCGTAGGGTTGAGTGACAGTGGCTGGCCTTAAATCACTAATTGAGCTCTGTGATCAGCATAGTGAACATGGCACTATGTAATATGGATACTGAGAGTCTTAGGCTTGGTTGACACTTTGCATTAAGCCATCTTTTTATCAAAATTAGAGATGGGGAGGAAAAGAACTACAACAAATACATAAGAAGCATATACAAAAGACAAATAACATGAGTATTCTTTAGGTTAGTTATTCTCAGTATATAGTCAATGAAGCAGTGATATTTGGTGAGAATCTGTAGAGGGCTTGTAGTTCATGTGTTAAATAAAAATAGTTATATGTACATGTTGAATAATCACGGAAATATCACAGGATGGCCAAATCTTTTTTTAAACATTGTTTCACACTTTTTTCTCATGAAAGTCTCAAGGAATTTTAATGACAGTGTGAGTTTATGACCATTCTTAATTGCTTGTTTGTTGTTTATTTGTTTAACTTTAGTATCTTGAGGAAACTATTTGGGAGGGTTTATATGTATAATGGCATCCATAGACTCCCGTTTATGAAGCTAACTGCAGAAGCTTTCCCTCACAATGTAATAATATGCATAAAGAAATAACTTACTCTAAAGCAGGGGTGCACTATCCGCAATAT